GTCGTGTCCTGACGGCGGGGACGCACAGTCCTGACGGGTCGTATCCTGACGGCGGGGGTGCACGCTGTCCCCAGCTGAGACCGGGGTTAGCAGCGCGACCCCGGTGCGCAGGTCGTGCACGTGCCTTTCATCGCAGCCTGGTTGTTGGGGGTGGGGTTGGCCCCCCGGGAAGTGAGAGAGGAGAGCCCCGCCTCTGGCAGGCAGCTGCCGAGCTTGTAGCGTGTGGCGCAGATCCCTTCTCGCAGGCCAGCGCCTCGCCCGCTCTGCTCTGCGCACTGCGCCACAGGCCCCTTGCGGCGCGTGGGCGGTTTTGTTTGGATGTTAGGAACTGCTTTCTCATGAGGAGGGTGGTGAAGCACTGGGCCAGGTTACCCAGAGAGGTGGTGGGATCTTCGTCCTTGGGGGCTTTTAAGACCCGGTTGGACAATACCTTGGGAGGGATGATCTATTTGGAGATGGTCCTGCTTCGAGCAGGGGCTGGGCCAGATAACTTACTGAAGTCCCTTCCTGCCCTCCTTGTCTGTGTGACGTGGGAACTGGAGGTTTGGTAGGATGAGGGCTCTCCAGAGCAGGAGTTTCCACCCCTGCTGGATTCATAACAAATGCTGCCCCCTGTTGATTGAGCTGGAGATGAGTATGGGATCATTTGGGCAGGAAGGGCCTTGTGTGTTATCGGTGACAGCAGCTGGGTTGCCTTAACCACACACGGCTACTGCAGTGGTCTCTGACAGACCTTTGATCTTTTTATGACCTTGAAGGAAACTAAGCTGTTAGCCACTTGCTGTCTTTTGATTAGTCAGGAGATTGCCTTTAGGAATAGAACCGGGTAAGTTGTCTGTGTCTCTTATTTCACTGAAATGAAATGTTGATATTGTGCCCAGTACTGAACAACATAAACTGGAGACCAGCCATCTCCTAAAAAGGGTTGTGGTCTGAAAGGCCTGAACAAAGTGGGATGGGCTGGAAAGCCTGACAGAGGGAGTAAATGTCTGGCACAGCTTTTGGAAGGCATTGCTATGTAATGCCAGCCCTGCATCTCTTTTAATTAGTAGCTCCTTGTTCCACTGGGCTAGAAGCGCTGCAGTCCAGAGCTGGCTTTGACCCAGCATATGGGATCATAGGTGTTTGCAGTGGGGAAAGCCCTGTTAAATCACATCTACTTAATCATGAGGGGCCAGTACAGGATGTTCTAAACCCTAATCTGAGAGATGTCCTGGCTGCCCTCAGACATCATTCGGCTATGTTAAAAGTCAGCGGGAATAGGACAGGCTTTGACCTGGATAAGCAAAGTCCTAGAGTATTGCCCAACTCAGTAGGGTGTGGTGTAAATATATCCTTCCTGAGCTAGTTTGTATTTCCATTGGGAGTGATACTTTTTAACATACAGTTTAAGGATATGTTGCTTTGGGGAAGGAAAAGAAATTACCCACATCTTCCTGAGTGCTGGAACTTCTGAGGTGTCTTGATTTGTTTGTATGGAATTGGCTTCCCAGACGCTCCAAAACTGTCTGTTCAGTAAGAACCTTGCATTCGACCTCTGAGCTCCCTGGATCCTCAGTCCTTGGATTTTTACTTGGCTCCATTCAAAATTAATCCCATTCTGCACACCAGCCCAAGTGTAGCCTTTCACATCTCATTTCTGACATGTGGGAAGCTACCTTGGACTCTAGGTAATGTTATCGGATTTTCTTAATCTGGTAGAGTATGGGATAGGTGTAGCTAGTATATGGTTACTTTGGAAAACATGTCTTCTCCAGCTGCTTTGCGTAAGTTCCTGCAGCCTCAAGAGTGGCATGCCAGCACTGAACAACACCCTGCCTTTGCCCTAGGGCTGTTGTGTGTGTATACATGTATGCACTCTTGCTTCTTCCCGCCCCCAAGATTCTTATGGAAATATATTTTGACTGCTTCTGGGAGGATAGGGGTGGAGGTGGAAAGAGCTCTGTTTGCTTTCATTCCCCAGCTGCAGCAGTGATGGAATGTAGTGGATCTGTAAAGCCTTGCTGAGAGCAAGAATCTGCATCCCAGTGGGCAGCTCTGGTTGTGTTATCTGAGCATTATGTAATGCTGATGCACCACAGTCGTGGCTGCCAGCAGAGTGGGACGGCCAGTGCAGGTAGGGATTCTCCTTCACAAGGCTGCTGTATCCTCAGGCAGGGCTTCCTCTCTGAGGCAAGGGCAGGCATAACCTGATTTCTGTTTTCCCACCCTGCCCATGGATCAGTTGCAGGTTTCAGTAACACCTTCAGGTACATAAAAAATCATGTATATGAGTGTGCAGGAGATTGCTGAATGGGTTTATTGTAATTGCCATCAGTTACCCATGCTGTACATCATCACTTAGTCCTTTAAGGGAGACAACTACCATTAAGTATTGACTTCTGAAAATTAATTTTTAAAATATTTTATATCACAACTCTAAGTTTACACACATGCTAGAATCACAAGACATGCAGAAATTCAGCTGTTCACAGTTTTGTGTAGAATCTGTTCTTTAACAGTCCTGGAGATTGAAATTATCTATTGAAAAATAGGTGCAGTATTAATAGCAGAAGGGCAATCTTACTCTTTTACACATGTTGCTGTACTAGGAACTCACTTCTGGGGTAGAGGGACCACAGCTTCATTTGTCCCTCTGCTCTAGGAGGGACCACAGCTTCATTGGTTAATCTCCGACCTAGTCATTCCTTGGTTTTCCCATTGACACAAGAGGGAGCAACTGTGTTAATTTTATTGTCTGCATTGCAGTTGTGCCAAGAAGAACCCCTCAGGTTCCTGTAGAGATCATCAGAATGTATGCACCCTGACTGTCATTGAAATCAATAGAAGTTCCAAGGGAGGTGGTGCTGGCCCCTACCCTGGGGATCTTTAAGAAGAGGCTGGATACCTACCTGGCTGGACTCATTGAGTCCCGTTTTTTGTTTAGGGTTCTTTTGTTGTTCTCCCGCCCTGGCGGGGGGGTCGGGCTAGAAGATCTATTAGGTCCCTTCCGACCCTAAAACTATGAAACTATAAGTTTAGGTGCCTAAGTGATTTAGATGGTTATTTGTTAGGAGTTGAACAAACTGCTGTGACCCATTTCACATGGGCCAATGAGCAGTCTCAATAGGATTATTGTTTCTAGCTGAGACAGTTTGCCAGCCAGACTCCTTTAACTAGTTATGAGAAAACACTTTGAGACAGATAGGAATTTTTAGGAGTCCACAGTTCTCCCTACAGTTACAGCTCCACAGTTAGTATCTGAAATAAATGCAGTAGACTGTTCAGTAGAAAGGTGCTATGTAAATACATGCTTATTAATCGGAGCTCAGCTTTTTTCTGTGTAGGAACGCTGGCTTGTATTTTGCTCAGTTTTCTGCTACTTGCTTTTACTGACTCTTTGTATTATGACTTGGGTATAGTGACCTGGGTTCCAAAGGCAATGTATTAATCCATGTTTTACCTTTCTCCCTGAAACTGGGAACTATTTATTTTGCCGGCATGTGTGCTATGCGGTCAGCAGTAGCATTTGTATTAATCATCAGAATGTTCTGGTGAGGAAGGGAGTCAGTATTTCCTTTTTATAGAAGAGGGGAGTAAGCTGCTCAGAGTAGCACAGCAAGAAAACAGCAGAACTGGTAGTGGACCCCAAGACCTCCCATCCTTGAGGCCACTGCCACTTCTTTCCTCACAAGAAATGCATAGACAGGTTCCCTGCCCAATTTAAAGAATGGGCTCAATGGACAAACAAGTCTTTCACTGACACTAAGCGGAAAAGGGGAGGGATAAGGAAGCTCCTGGTTTGAGACAGAATTGTGGGTTAGCTTTGCTGCTTGTTGTAACTAGCCCCAACCTAAATGAATTGAGGTTTCTTAAAATGCAGACTCATGTTTTGTGGATAAGACTGCAGAAGTGGGCTTTCAGGTATAATTTGACTGAAAGTGAGGAGTGGTTTAGCTTAAAGAAGGGGTTCCAAGTTGCCAGGAGGCTCCACAGTCCCCTTATAGAGGTGAAAGTTTTGTTAAAGCTGGAATCATTGGCAGCATTAAACAAAGCAAAAATAAGCCAGGTCATTAATGTAGACTGGAGTTTGGTTTGTAAGGCCTTGAAAGGAAGCAGAAGCAGCTTGAACTTGAGACAAAGCACAATGAGAAGCAGAGAAATATACGAAGCAGACCGATGTCTCAGTGCTTAATGAGAGAGGACTTTGGCGCCAGTCTTTTTTGGAGGGGAAGGGGCAGTTTTCTAGTGGGAGAGAAAGCCAAGTTAGTATCACATGAAATGAGAGACTGTGTAGATAAAAAATGTGGTTGTCAGTGTCACAGTGGAATACAAATCATATCATTTTTGCAAACATGCACTGTACTGATAGTGTTTCCCTTGGAAAGTTTGCAGACTTCAGAGACCTTTCGCTGCCTCCTGACAGGGAGGAATATTTCTGTGTACTTTTCCACTATAATATAGCGTGTACCTATCAAGAACCATAAAAATGGGCATTTTTGGTGGCAAGAATTCTTATGAGTGATATCTTATTGGACCAACTGTGTAGTTGGGTTTGACATAGGCAAGCTTTTAGGTATCACATTGCCCTTCTGCAGGCCATTCTTAAAGAAATTCATGACTTTCCAGAAACATTCCCTTAAAACTAGGGATGGGGGAGCGAGAATTTATCCATTTCATATTTAAAATCTCTCACTGCTCCAGGATTATCATCTGTGGTAAATTCCACCAGCTGGTCTGCTCTGTAAACTCCTCCACATAGACACTGCCACATCTATGGAGCTCCAGCTTGAAGGAGGCAGTAACTGCCAGATGGTTGCTCTTGCATTGTCAGTAGTCATTTGAAGTTGAAGGGATTGCAAGAGTGTGAAGGTGCTGAAAAAGTCTATTTGTCTATGCAGTGATAGGGAATTAACTGGCATTCTGGTGTCCTTGTTCTGTCTATTTGATGTTGAGATGAGTTAAACTCTGGGTAGTCATACTTCCTGGCTTAACCTTTAGCCTGGAAGGAGTTATTGATTATAATGTTGCTGGAGTTGGGGGAGAACCCGCCATGCATATCTGTAGTCGTATGAACTGTCATCAGTCTGTCTTGTTTCTCCTCCACAGGTTTCTACTCCAGTCCCTGGAAGACTTGGACAACAGTTTAAGAAAACTCAATTCTCGCTTGTTTGTGGTACGGGGTCAACCAACAGATGTCTTTCCAAGACTCTTTAAAGTAAGTCTAAATATGCCATCTGTACCTTGGTCAGTAAGTCCTATTGTATTTCACTTCTTATAGTCACTGATGGTCCAGTCAGATCTAGAAGGTCTGTGTTCAAGAGATCTAACTAGCAGGATGACCCTTTGTGAGGATTTAGTAATGTCAGTCAGTTCTACAGTCAAAACTCATGTAGCTTGGGAGAGGTGACAAATTATCTTTCATGATGACAGCCTCTGCCTCCCTATTGCTGCCACACATCTGTCAGCTGGCACTGCAGATTGTTGTCTTGTGTAAGGAGAAGTTCCTCCAAGCTTGAAGTGTTTTCACCGGCTGCTTCTAAGCAGGAGAGCTACCAGGCCTATGCCCGTTACAGACAAGCAGAAAATAGTCTTTGAGCCACATGTCAAGGGACAAATAAGGGTTTGTGTTTTGACTTGTCTAAGCCTAGTGTACATTTCTAGCATATTCTGTATGAGCAGATCACCTCTTTTTGCTTTGATACAAAGACTGGATACTTTCCCATAGGCCACTGGCTAATAGTTGCATATCCTTGGGAAAGGTGTCGGGCTGAAGTATTATCCAGGGATGTGAAATGTGCATTACGTTCCACACTTGCTGTCTGATTAGCAGGATGAGTTTCTAAAGAAGCAATTTGTACTATAGTAGATGGGCATCTACTTGAATAGTAGGATGTCCAGGACAGTGAAAAATTGGTAAATTAGGAGAACTTGTACCATTTTAAGATTCTGTTCTTTGAAGCTGTTCTGAAAAGCCAGCTGCCCCTTTATTGAACTTAATCCCAAGAGTGTATGTGCCTAGAGGAGGAGAATGTCATAGCTTCTTGACTTGGATGTATCATACTGATGGCAGTAATAGCAAATTAATTGCACTCCATCCTGAAAGCCTG